CAAACAAACAAACAAACAATCCTTATCACTGTCTTTTAGTTCCGCCTGAAAGTAGCCCGTTGATAAATCAATCTTACTGATGTACTGGACCTTTCTGTCTTTGTTAATTGCCTACTCCATATGAGATAATGGATAAGACGTAGCTATAATTATCTCATTTAACTTACTCGGATGGACAAATAACCCAAATAGTCTTATATGGCAATTTTACAAAACATTTTATTTCTGTGGATGATCGATTTAAGAAAGAAGTGAAGTTTTTACACTTTCCTTTACGACTTAACTGTATATGGTGAGCATCAGTAAAGGTATAAGGATCCCTTTGGATAATACCCAAGAACACTTAAAATCTTTGTAGTAATCAGAGGCCTGGAAATTGTAGAATTTTTTATGGTATAGATTTTGAATTAATTAAAGATTTTAGTACTGCTAGTTTATACTTTTGTTTCTTCTGAATTGAACATAACTGTTGTTTTATCTTTACATAATTACATCTTCATATACATCCCTTTATCTTCTCATCTTTTAGCAATTTTTCAAGCTTATGAATCCTCCCTCAAGTGTTGTGGAACTATTTTCTTGGATTCTTTAAATTCTATAAATCACCTTCTAGAAATTCTAGAAGTCACCTTGATAGACTGTTTAACCAAGGATATGTTTCCTGGTTTATTATTAAACATACTCTCACAAAACTTCTATTAATTCATCCTCATGTTTAGTGGTTAATCTTTCATATGTTTTAAATTGCCCTGTTTGTTCATATGGATTAAGTGTTGTTTCATGTCCATGCCCATTAATACCCACATGGAGACTGATCATTATGCAAGTTACTGGTAAAATTTCTGGTGTGCCATGATTTTAATACGTTTACTTGATAATTTTGTCCCGTTACTTCTCCATCCCCTACATCAAATTTGTAGGTAACTTTGCTTGTACACCTAGGTATAGGAAAAGGACTCATCCATTTTGTTGCCAAATTATGTGGTACAGGATCTAATACAGCAATTAACTAACCAACAGTAAATTTTCTAAGTCTAGCCTTTTCATCATACCAAAAATATTTTTCCTTCTTTGCTTTATTTGCTAACTTTGGCTCTTAACAAATTAGTCACATAACGCTTAAAAATGATTTATCCTTTCCTTTAGTCGAAAGTATTTTAGTAAACACAATGGACCCTTGACCTCCTTTCTGTATAGCTTTGTAAATCTTCTTTGTTATAAACAGCCACTGATTTACCTAACAATGTGGGAAACAATATCTTCAATGACTCCTCTGTTTTTCCCCAACTCTCTTTATTTTTCTAAATGTACTAAAGAAGACTTCCGCATCATATTCACAAAATTTCGGCAGTTGTAAGTGAGTTTGTGATTTATATACACTCCCCTATCTCGGTGATTATTTTGTTTTGCTCAAACTTCATTCAGACTTTGACTACTTTCTATTTGTCACTGTTTTTCTCTGCCGATATTTCCATACCTTTCATCTCTTTTTGTATTCTAGAAGTATCTAATTCAACACTCCCACTGGAACTATTTGTCATAGAAACGTTACTTGTTTGAGTAAATTATCAAGAGCAGAAGATTAACAAGGATGATAAGTGGAAATTATTGACTAAAAGTCAGTTGATAAAAACAAATTGTACATTTAAAAACAAGTACATGAGGCTGAGCTAGGCAAAAATTGCTTTTGAGTAACTGAAAGTGGCACGTCTTTATTTATTTAAATTCTAAGACAACTCTTGAAACAATTGATTAATTAGTTAATGATGTTAGTGAGCCTAAAATGGCAGAACAAGTTGGTAAAACTATTTTGTTTGTTTATTTTAACACCAAGCTAAAAAATAGACTATCTGCCCTCTGTACACCATTAAGAATGGAACCCCGGATTTAGCATTATAAGCCAACCGACCCACTCTGCGACAGTAGTAGTAGTAGTAGTAGTGGTGGTGGTATTTTTCCCACACATTTATTCTACTGAGAATATAGTGAACCTGGTCTTATAGAATAATTCTACAAAATATTTTATTTGTGTTGATGATCGATCTAAGAAAGGTGTCAAGTTTTCGCCCTTTCCATTACAATTTAGCTGTACATGGTGATCATTAGTGAAAGTTTCTGATCCTTTAGGGGTGTAAGAATCTCTCTGTGTCATAACCAAGAACCTTTGAAAACTAATCAAATATTTTTAGTACTGTTATTTTATTCTTTTTCCCTTTGAATTTGATGCAACTGTTGTTTTATCTTTAAATAATTACATAATTATACACATTCAGAAACACATAAACACGCATAAGTATTTACTAAAATTATCTTTTTACTATCTTTATGTATAATAGCTAACTGTCCGTCTGTCTATCATGTTCTGTATCTCCTTAACATTAAATCGTAGAAAAAAAATCAAAATGCTTCTTTACAAGAGCACATTACAGGAAAATTATTCTTTTTTTTTTTGTCAATTCCTAAATTTTATTTCGATGTCATTAATGATCAGTCAGTCTTCATATGTGTTTATCGTCAGTCTGAGATAAAACAAACAACTTTATTAAGAATAAAAATGTTTATTTTTGTACGAGAATTTCACGAAAATAGGAGTCATCGTCATCAAGTGCTGTGTTTTGTAACTTAGGCAATCACGTCCTTCCACCTTTCCAGTCCCAGGCACTTGTGATTACATAAGTCACCCTCTCTTCGTGTAGCCAAGTTGTTAAACTGTCCAGGATCTTCTCTCGCTGTCTACAGCTACTTTTTCCCCCACAAATTTTCCAGTTGTTACCAAGTGTTCCATCCTCTTTTTCGTCATTACATGACCAAAGAATGCTGCTTGTTTTTTCGTATTTTTGTGAGATAGGAGTATGAATGAAAAAATCGCATAAAGAGAAGAATGTGTTTGAATATATATTTGTTGTTGTTGTTCAGTTTATGTATATTTTTATTATTTTGTTAATGCTAGTTTTATAAACGTGCATGATTTAATTATACCATGTCGAATAAATTGGTCTGAATTGAATATTTTCCCTTTTACACTTCTTATAGAAATGACAATTGTAAGAAAGCGCTCACTTCGGTAATGGTCTTTTCTTTTTGCTTAGTGAAATGATAGTGGACAGTGGCATTCAACGGGAAAAAATCCCCGGGGTTATTTAGCGAACTTGAGTGCTCTGTTGTGCTGGGTGCACCCGTTTCATCGAAACCCAAACATTTTTGCCAACAATGGATTGCAGTCAGTCTCCCTTACACATGCAGTTTTCCATATTGAAATAACACATGTAAGTACAAAAGACAGTTGTAAACGGCCCACTAGACAATCATATTGCAAACATGCTCTAAGGGATTGGATTGACTGCATATTTTATATTTATTCATCACTATTTTGAGGAAATTACCGCTGAATTGTTTCACGGTCATCTGCTAGTAAATATACATTTGCCATATATTTGTATTTAACGCCCTCTACAAAGCTCAAATCAAAAATGAGTTCCTTTAGAGAAGTGAAAAGTACAATAAAAACCGAAACACAGTTAACAAATAGCTCATCAAAAATAAAATACTCATATATAACTCATTGGGATATTTCGTAAACATAAATTTAAATAGTTTCTCATCTAATAGCAGCTTTGAAGTATGAAAAAGGTCGAAGCACATGCACATTTTCTTTTTATGTTGGTCATCTAGAACAATTTGATGACGACATGTATCCTTCCGCTGTGCCTAAAACTGAAATGTTAGAAAACGAGTCTTTGAATTTTTCTGTGTAACAACAGGGGGATAGTTTAGAATCGACTGTGTTGAAATAAGTAGTGTGCTGTGGGGTTTTATTTAAAGTAGTTAGAACTTAGAGAAACCCGAAACATTTAACATAGAAGATGGCATTAAAGCGGATTAACAAGGTAACTAGTTAAGTTTTAGGCTGAAATGAAATATAAATATAATTTGTTTTTCTAGTCATTGTTCATTGCACTGATTCGTGATTGATGATTCACAGAATGTACTCAAGTCAATTTCATAAATCTGTTTTATTAATAGTTAATTTTTACTGAGTCACACTTAATAAATTACGCGGTTACAGCGGTAATTTGTATTATTGGTTACTATTATTAATTATTAGTGTCTGAGTTCTAACTGTTTAAGGTACCAATTAATGGTATCATTTTGAAACAAGTGTATACTAAAATAAAAATTGAAGTATTAGCATTGCCAAATAAAAAAAGATGATGTTGGAGTTGGGTATGGAAATAAGCTTATTAAGTATTACATATAGTTAAATTGTTTCAAAAGTCGCCTTAGAATTTAGGTAAATAAAGTGCTACTTCCAGTTTTCAAAGAACATGTTTTATCTAGCTCAGCCTCAAGTACCTGTGATTTGTTTTCTTTAAATGATCATAAAAATCGTACTCAGTGCTCCATGTAATTATATATTTACATTGACATTAGTAATAGTGTAAAAACCTGCACAGTATCTCGTGCCTTTATATCATTATCAGTCATTTACAAAAACATTGGTCATGAAGACCCAAGCACAAAATTGTCAAAATTACAAATGTTCTATACTTACTTTTACACTTAATTATAGTAAATGAAACTTCATTGTTTTTATTTCTTCACATCGTGAGATAACAAAAAACTTATTCGAATTTTTTAAATGAAAGCTTCACCACATAAAATCTTTAATTAAATGTTTGTGAAGATTTTTTTCTAAAATACAACTTAATTATATGTGAATGTTTTTTTTTTCTGAATGAAATAATGGTGTTATTGGGTTAACAATATCTGATAAACAGAGCAGAATTTAGTATTTCAAATTGCATTTATTTTACATAATCTTCATAATTGTTTTTGCATAAGGTGAAATGTACAATTTTAAATGGTTCAAATTAAAGTTTTAAGTTATGTATGGAAATAGAAATGATTTTTTCTTTCCCCACAAAACAAGCATGGAATGTGTATTTGTAGCCTCGATACTTTTGTGTTTTGTCTTTTAGTTTCACACTCAATGTTAATGTAGATAGATGTATATGCAAGAGATAATTGATATCATTTTTAATGAAGACAACAAACAACCTCAGATGTTATTTTTTTTACCCAACGTTTCAGAACATGCCCGTTTCAAGGGTCTGTGAACATCACAGGTTTTGCAGTTTTGTAACCTGTAACGTTCATAGACCCTTGAGAAAGGCATAAGCTGAAACATTGGATGTAATAAAAAATACTTATCTTAAGTTGTTTGTCGTCTTCGTTAAAAATAGTTTCCATCCTCCTGTTAGCATTAAAAACTTTAAAAAATAATAAAAAATAATGGATATGATTTTTATACTATCTTTTTAATTTATTTTAGTGATCTTTCAGAATTTGTTTTAGTTGATAGCTAGAAACAGTAATTGACATTAGAAACATAAGTATTTACTAAAATAATTGTATAAAAATTTTCCATTAAAGAGTGTTATCATATTTTCTAATCATTGAACTGAAACACCTTTACTAGTTTGGCGGATTTAAGTTCAGGCTTAGAATTAAGCAGATGTCATGTTAGGGTTTTAAAAAATACATATCATCAATACATGAAATAATCAAAAATTGTGAACATTCTAAATGATCATGTGTACACAGTAATTAAAAGTTTTCATAGAAAGATATACAAAAAGGCATTTAAATTCCATATTTATGTTCACTGCATTTTAGATTGAGGCTTGGAAACTTATGAAACTTCTGACAGTTTTTCTGTTTGCCTAGATTTTCATGGCCTGGTTGTAAATGAAATCAAGTTGACTAGGTCCCTCCAGTAAGATTGTTATCAGGCAAGGCAACACTATTTTGCTGTTTTGGGCAGAAAAACTATGCTCAAGAGGAACACTTGTAACTGGCACAACTGCAGCAATTGAAAAAAGTGCCAAAAGTTTTGGGTAGACATCAGTTAATAATGAAAGTCTTCCGGATATATCCGGAAATCCGGATATTTCTAAAAAATCCTGAAAACCTCCGGTTTTCTTCCGGAGAAACACATTTTTTTAAATTACTTATCGGATTTTGGTGTTCCATGCCATAGATAAGCATTTATGCAATTGCGCGGTTTGTTTACAATCGGCGAATGAGTTTGATTTTACAATAAATATACGTC